AAAAAAAAAAAAAAAAAAAAAAAAAAAAAAAAAAAAAAAAAAAAATACAGCGCCACTTGACTACTCTTTTTTTTCCTGGAAATTTAGGGTAGGGAAGAGTTAGTATTGGCATTCTGGGGACCAACGAGTGCTAGTGGTTTGGGAAAAATCTCATAGGTTCCTCACAACTAAAGCTTAACTGGCTTAGCTGAAGAGATCTAATATTTTTTAACCCAGGTATATGTGGTGCCATGTCAGCGCCACCTGGATTTTCCTGCCTACCCCAGTGACTGGGCATTGCCCCCCACATACTGATGAGCTCAACCCAGACACTGAGACAGAAGGGTGAGAGACTGGGAGTGCACAGCAACAGAGGGAAAATGTGAACACCAGTCCAGGAACGCGATGGTTATACTTGGGGCAGTAGTGACACAGAAGTCAATGCCCACTGATATATACTCTGGCACATGTAAGGAACACATGGCCAGACTGGGAACAGCTAAAGAGCCTCACCCCTTGGGGTGGCTCAGAAGCCTGTTCTTGGCCTAATGAATTGTGACTGGTCATGCAAAATAAGCCTGTTTACTAGGGTGCAGGGCTGGCCACAGTCATTTCATTATGCTCGCAGATACGCCAGCCAGATTTCCCCTGGCTGATGCCAGGAGAGAGGTTGCCCCCTCTTGAGGAAGAAGGCAGACAGTTTCTGCAGAAAGCCAGCCTCCCCGAGCAGAGCTGATGCCCCGCCACCTGTCATGATCAAGTGTGCAGACCTTACACACAACGGGTGCACATGCTTTTGAATCATCTAAGAGTTGGGCACTTCCCTTCACACTAGCCAGTTGCAATCACATCACCAGGCTCCCATCACCAGGCTCCCAACCCTCTCAAGGGAGCCTCACAACACAAGCTGAGAATGGGTTGGGAACTCCTTGGCTCATACTCCCCTCCGCTTGGAGATGTATGGAAAATTCCTTAAGAGTAGGCATGGCCCGGAGAAGGCTGGTTGGTTGGGAAATTCCTTAATCATTCCCTTCGTCAGCCAGGCCTCTGACTCTGAGAGCATTCCTCTGAGCAGCAGGAGTCCTCTCTGTTCCTTCACTGATGGTCTTCCTACCATTTGAATCCATAGCATGGCTTACCCACTAGCTCAGGCTCCCTGGGGCCTGTGACTTGTCAGTTCCTCTCAATGCAGCGCCTGTTACCTGTAGTGGGTGTAAACTTAAGCACTGGCATTGCAGACAAATAATAGTTGGAGATGGGAAAGCACAGACAACCTGTATGGGTCTCCTGGCTCTCTCTCCATTGGGTGCAAAATGTACCATTTATGTACTCATACATTGCTGGTGGGACTGCAAATTGATGCAACCACTCTGGAAAGCAGTATGGAGATTCCTCAGAAAACTTGGAATGGAACCACCATTTGACCTGGTTATCTCATTCCTTGGTTTATACCTAAAGGATGTAAAAGCAGCATACTACAGTGACGTAGCCACATCAATGTTTATAGCAGCTCAATTCACAATAGCTAAACTATGGAACCAACCTTCAACAGATGAATGGATAAAGAAAATGTGGAACATATACACAACAGAATATTACTTAGCCATAAACAAGAATGAAATTATGGCACTTGCTGGTAAATGGATGGAGCTGGAGAATATCAGGCTAAGCAACATAAGCCAGTCCCAAAGAAACAAAGGTCAAATGTTTGATATGCAGATGCTAATTCACAATAAGTGGGGGGCTAGGGAAGAACAGAAGTACTTTGGATTAGACAGAGGGGCGTGAAGGGTGGGGAGGGGATATGGGTGTAGGAAGAATAGTAAATGAATTGGACATTATTATCTTATGTGCATATATGATTACACGACCAGTGTAACTTTACATCCTGTTCAACCAGAAGAATGAGAAGTTATACTCCATCTATGTAAGATGTGTCAAAATGCATTCTACTGTCATGTATAACAAATTAAAGAAAAGAAAAATATATATCATTTATAATTTCTATGCCCACTGAAGAAAACAGAGCCATGTCAATGGGTGTGACTAGCGTTAGATGTTGTATAGTTCTGTGTCATTTCCAGCAATTCCAATATTCTTTCCAGCGATGACCTGTTAGGATGTTGGGGAAGGGCTGTCACTGGCCTTTGTGACTGGAGGCTGTCAGCCATTTCCATTTCCCCACCAGTGCCTCCACTACCCAAACATTCTACCACTGTAGCTCACCCCATTTGCTGTTTCTGTGAATTTTTCTCCTGTATTATTCACATTAAATAGCTTTCCAGGGTAGTGATAGGTGAAGCCCAAGGAAACTGAGTTAGCAGAGGTAAAATTGAATATCATTACAATGAGAAAGTTAAGTACATTCATATTATCTTCCTTTGGGAATTTCTGATACTAAAAGCTATCCTCCAGTCATGACCTTCATTCACTTAGCTAGTATTTAATGAGAAACTATGTGAGTTTAGAGAGTTGTGAAAGAAGCACATAGCTGTATTGTTTCAGTAAGAACTGGCATCACCATGAAAGAAAAAGGAATGAAAAAAGTCAAGCAAGTATCCTAGAATAAGTTCTAGGACAGAATTATTATGCAACTCCTGGCTGGCTCAGGCTTTATATGGAATCCCTTTGCTCATTTTGGGATATCTATTCCACCTTGATGTTCTGGCAGATGGGGAGGTATGTTGCCATCTGTCTTTATTTTTCTAACCCCTCCATAGGACATCACAAAGTGGGCACTGCAGGGACATCTCATACTGCCAACTCTGTTCTTTCACCCAAATGTTTGCTGCTTCTCTGCCCAGATCCCAGGCAGGGGGAGAGGCTGGCACAAGTCTCTGGCTGATATCTTCCTGCTCTTTGGTTCTTTGGAAAAAGAGAAAGCAGGATGGGGCTTAGGGGTCCCCTGGGTAAGCAGGATGCTCTGGAAAAGTACAATTTCTGGAATTTTGGCTTTTGGAGTCAGAACCTCTTTCTGCAGGTGCTTTTTACTCAGTATAACCCACGTGCTCTCTGTTTCTCCCTGGGTGACTTTAGATGGGGGCTGGAGGGACAGGGTTTGTTCTCTTTTTGTGATGGGGTCTGGGGGCTGCTCCTCAGTGCTTCTTTCTCTGTAAGCTGATTGAGTTCAGGGACTATGACCACTTTGCCATTGAATTCAGAGCTTGTCCCAGTGCTTGGCCTATGGTGGGTACTTAACAAATACTTAAAAAATTGACTAGTAAAAGGAAGCAAAGAAGTTCACAGTGTATGATCAGAGCRCCTGGCTTGGCTTCAGCCTTGCTACTTGATAGCAGTATAAGCAAGTTTCTTAATCCTGTGAATCTCAGTTTCCTTATCTGTGAAAGGTAGGCAATTCCACCTGCCTCTTAGGGCTGCTGTAGGGATGAAATGACATCGAGTGGCATAGCTCTTGGCTCATGGCAGGCCTTAGGAACATTTGCTATATACTGGAAAGCCCCAGGTAACTCACCATACAGGTAAGGACCTTGGAGGGTCTGGGGTTCTGGGGAAAAGAGCAAAAAAAAAAAAACTTAGAGTGGGAGTGGGGCTGGCCCATCATCTCTGAATCATGAAGTGGTTTCTACTGCCCTGAATTTGTTTCATTGATTATGTCTACACCTCCTTCACCATCAGAGTTCTACAGAGGTATCTGTGAAAGAAAACACACTTTAAATACAATGAAAACTACAGAACCCTAAAGAGAGAAATTGAAGAAGATCTTAGAAGATGGAAAAATATACCCTATTCATGGATAGGCAGAACTAACATCATCAAAATGGCGATATTACC